GACAAATCATGATAGGATGATGGTCCGAACTAATTCGAGGAAGAATACGACCGTAAGCAGAGGGAAATAAACTTTGCCAAGTAACACTACACTACACAGGAAGCGTGGTTTAATTATACTTAACATCCCTTCTGTTTACGAAAATGTTAGCAAGAATTCTAAATATTTGATAATTTAATTTTTAGATTTGTTACTGCAGTTATCTTTTTGGGTAGCGTAATAAAACTCTGTTTATTATATTTCTTCATGTTAGTAAGAGAAGCTAATGTTATGTTAATCTTCAACATAAGCTTATGATAGATTATTTTACAATGACAGTGAAGCAATTGAATATATACTTTTTCCAGTACTGATAGGAGAGCGAACTACTGAAAAAACTAACACTATCGATTAAGGTGTAAAATTTTTATAACAAAGTTATCTTGTGAAATTTTCTCTTTTTCATTCTCTAGATTTGCAAGTTGTTCAAGATGACTTTTATGTTAATAAATTTTAAAGTAGAAATGTTAATAAATTTTAAATAAAAGACTATTTTATCCTTATTGAAAATAATAAGTCTTAATTATAATTTTTTTTTATCAATCACAAGAGTTTAACAATAAATCATAACTTGTATTGTGCATGGATCATGATCTCTCCAAAAAGAGAAGTCAATAAATGTAGGAGTTGCCATTAAAATTTTAAAAGAATAATTTTAAAAACCTTTTTAAAAAATAAAATGGTATAGAGAGTTGATTGTGCATGGGAAAGGTGTTTGGCACCCCACATGACTTGTCCATAAGAATAATTACTCTAAGTTGATTAAACAAAATTAATATGGCCTTAAATGAAATTTAGTTATCCTTAATAAACAAGAACAATAAAAAGAAAAGAATAAAAAAATATTTATTTACAAGATGAACTTGACCTAAAATAAAATCTTAGAGCCTAGCTTATCTTTTAAAAGGATCAAAACTTACATAATTCAAGGGTGAAAAAGTGTGTTAATTTGTTAGCATTTTTTAGAAAGGAATTTTTTATATTTTTTAAATAGGTTTTTAATTGGATTTTTATCTTTTAATTTATAAAAGAGACTTCTTCCCTTATTTGAAAAAGGATTTTGGTGAGAGAAAAAATTAGATTGAAATTCCTACAAAAATTTCAAAAATCTCACACAGAAATTAATTTGTTTTATACCTACATAAATTTCAAAATTTCATACGATATAAAAATTATTTTTAAATTTATTTATAATAAAAAAAACTCCCTTCTCCTTTTTTAAGAAAATTTTTTTCAAACAAATCAATTAATTATGATAACTTTTTTGGTGTGACTGCAGTAACCTATTGTCACACAAGGCATACAAATTGGCTATATACCTATAAAGACTCTAGAAATCTTACATGGTAAAAGTCTAAAAGAATAGTGAGAAAATTTAAAATTTTTCCTTTCTTAAAAGAACAATTTCCCAGTTGGGAAATATATTGTAAACTGTGAACATAATTTAGGGCATAATCGCATTTGAACATTAAACTATATTAATAAAATTCCTAAACCCTGTTGAATACCTTTCAATGTGCGAATGAAAGGGTCGTGGAGCAAAATTTACTCTTAACGATTTTTCTCTACGTGATAATGAGAAGAAAGAATAATAATGAAAAATAAAATAAAATGGAAAACATGAAGTCAATCAGATTTGGGAATTTTAAAAAGGGTAAAAAAAAATTGAACTCGTGTGAAGGAAGGGGGAAAAAAAAAAAGGAAGCATGTAAAGGCAAACACTTGAAATGACAATTAAAGAAATCGTAAATGAGAAAAAGGAAAAGAAGAGGCAATAGAAATGAAAGAAGGCAAAAGATAGAAAGGAAAAGTCTTACACACAGATGATGACAGAAAAAGAAAAATAAGAGAATTAGGAAAAAACAGAGGAAAAGTCAAAAAGAAAAAAACAAAAACGAGAACAAACAAAAGGAAAAAACCCATCTAAACGATCACTATGAACTCCACCCTCCAGCCATTAATCTTGAGAGGTACATATATGATCACAAGGACAAACCCACATTAGTTTTCCTCAAGATATTTGGAAACACCTTTACCCAATAACTTGCCTCCTCCTCTTCTCCAACTAATTCTATTTTTTATGGACAAAAATTAAGATTTTCATTGTTAATGGTTAAATCTCATCAAATTATCATTTATGATTAATTTTATTTGATTTTCACCATTTTAAATCAAGTCACAAATTCAAAGATTGTATTTTCATTTGACTTTCACTAATTGGAGACTCGGGCACAAATGTCATTTAATTTTTTATTTATTAATTTTCATTTCTCTTTTTTATTTTACTAAAGAAGGTTTTTTTTTCAATTTTTTGTTTATTCATTTATTTTTTTGTGAGGGTCCGAATAAAATAGAGTATTCATAACTTGTCAAACATAATTTTTATTATTAAAAAAAAAGCCCTAATAACAACTTTTGTTTAAAAAAGAATAGCTGTTGTTCTATGAATCGCAAAAATTAAACAAAAAATTACAATTTATCAATTATAATTTTTATTATTGAAAAATAAGTTTTCAAAACGACAAACATGATTAACAATTTTTGTTTAAAGAATCATAACTTTTATTCAAATAACAGCAACATTTAAATGAAAAATTACAACTTGTCACTAAAGTAAAATAATCTTTTTAATAAAATTTATTAATAAAAAGGTTTTCATAAACTTTAGTAAAATTATGACATTTTGAAAGATCAGATTATCATATATAATTCAGAAGGATTTTATTATCATTTTTTATATAATTTTCCTTTTTATTAAAAAATGGCCAAAATGCTAAAAAGATTTAAAAAAAAAAACACATGCAATTTGTTTGCAAGCATCGACTGTACATCACAGTATTTAAGGCCACAAGTGTACGTGGGCGTGGGAACAGAGCATAATTTGCTTTATATAGAAATCAGTGTGTTCTAGATTGTAAGACACTCTTACAAATAATTTGATATCCTAAAAATATTAGACATTGTGATAAAAATATAATTTTTATTAATTATATTTGTCGTAACATTATTTTTCCTTTCATATTATTCTTTATAAATAAGGTTATATTAAATTAATAAATATTTTTAAAAAATTTATATTTATATTTTAAAAAATAAGATTTTCTGGTTAAATTTTTAAAAAATAAGTTTATAAAGTGCATTTAATAAATTTTTTAATATTCATTTAAAATATTTTTAAGAAATTATCTGATAAAATAACACTAATCTATTTAACTTTTATTATAAAACATTCCTAACTACCTTATTAAAATCAATGAAAGATGGTCTTATCGAAATTAATGAAAGATGGTTTTAAGTCATTAATTTTGTCAAAAAATAAAATAAAATTTCAAATTAACCCTTATTTAAAATTAAAAATTTTAAATGTGCATTACATTTTCTCTCTTAGTTAATAAGTTTAAATATGAATAATATTAGAAAAATACAATTAATGCCTATCAAGAATACCAAAAAAAAAAAAAATTCTCGAAAGCATTAAAATAGGAATAGAATAAATATGTAGGGAAATTTTCAATCAACCCTCTTCACCCTATTTAACTTCAATCAATCTCCTAAAACTCTGAAATTTTACTATATATGTGGAAAAGTGAAATAAAATTAAAGATATGACTCAAATGATTTTATTATTCTTAATAAAGTTAGGCACATGTACAACTCATGTAGGAAAAATGAGAAACTAATGATGTATAAAAAATGAATAATTAATATAGGTAAAATTTATAACTATCATTAATATCATAACACCACTATGAATTTACAATTCACATTCCACTTACATCAATTATTTATTTTTTATATATTAGTTATTTATTTTCCCTAGGGAGAATTACATTTAGATCCCACATAAGGGAATTAAATACTGTAAGGTCCATTGACAGCTGAACTAAACTGCATTGACAACTAGTTGTGTTGTCAATACAGTTTAATTCAGTTGCCAATAGACCTTACAGTAATTAATTTTCTTGTGTAGGACTTCAATATAATTGTCCCTTTTCTCTACATGAGTTATTCAGACTCCTAACTTCACTTATTTATATTTATAGTGGTGTTATGCTATTAATGAAAATTGCAAATCCTATCTACATCAATGTTTATTTTCCATATACATTACTTGTTTTTTTTCATACGTCAATTATTCATTTCACTAGGGACAGTAAAATCATTTGAATAAACTCTTTAATTTTATTTTAATCATTAATATGTATAGTAAAATTTTAGAATTTTAGAGGGTTGATTGAAAGTTAGATGAAGAGGCTGACTGATATGGCGTTTGCGTTCGGTTCTCATTAGGCTAGGATCAATCTTGGCCCTCCATTCCAACCTAAAATAATCTCTGCCATTTATTTAAATTAATTTTTAAATATTTTTAATATATCATTTATTAATATAAAAATTTAAAAATTGTAATAAATCTGTTCATTTACCAATCTAACCAAAATAAATTTAATCTAAATAGTTCAATTTAATATTAAAAAAATTTATAATTTTATAACTTGACTATCCAGATAAACTTTAGACAGTTTAGATATAATTTAAATAACCAAATGTAATACTAAAATATTTATATATTTTACAAATTGACTATTTAAATGTACTCTAAATAGTTTATATTTAATATTAAAATTTTTATATTAATAAATATAATATTAAAAATATTTAAAACTTAATTTAAATAAGTCACAGAAATTATTTTAAGTCAAAATAAAGGGCCACGACTGCCGCGCTCAATGCTCATTGCAATAATTAATCCTAATTAATCCTAAACGATGGAAACGGAATGCGGACGTGACTGATACAGCTTACGTGCAAGCGAAACACGTCCAAAATGGTGCGGGCCAGTCGTACCAATAATTAATACAAATTGGCCAATTGAGCCGTACGTACTAATGAGTGTGGCCTATTGAGAAACACGTGGCTTAGCTAACTGGCCAGTGTACACTTTGCAACAAATACTAATCGACATGCTTCATCAGCTGATGAGAGGTAAGCGAATTAGTGTGGTTGGATTGGGAAGCATTGGGTTGGAAGTTGCTAAAGGACTTTGAAGATTTTGGATGCCTCATATCATACAACTCAAGGACGAACTCATCAGCTCCTTACAATTTTTATTCCAACGTTGTTGAGCTCGCAAGTTCCTGCGATGCACTCATAATCTGTTGTCCTTTAAACGAGCAAACAAGGCACATGATTAACAGAGAAATGATGCTGGCATTGGGAAAAGAAGTCATTATGAACGTTGGAAGAGGTGCTCTTATAGATGAAAAAGAATTGGTCAAGTGTTTGATGCAAGGAGAGATTGGAGGGGCTGGTTTGGATGTGTTTGAGGATGAACCTATCGTTCCTGAAGAGCTTTTCGATTTGGATAATGTTCTCTTATCTCCTCATCACGGCGCATACACTTCAGAATCTTTAATGGGTGTTGCTGAAGTTGTGAAACAGAACTTTAGAGCCTTCTTCTCCCATAAGCCGTTAATTGCTCCTTTGTTAGTTGATTAATCACTAGAAGCTATGCAAGGAGAAACTTACAAGTGGCCTACAATGGAATATTGATATTTAGAATATCCCTTATATTATGTTTGGATGCATATGGATTTAAATTTGAATTTGGTTGGGTAATTAAAAATGTGTGGATTTGGATTTAGATTTGAGCCCTCCCCTAGTGCCTTTGTGTTGCACCCGAAAAAATGCGACACGGACAGCACGCAAGCGGAGGTCCCGGCCTTTGCAGCGGGAACTGGATCAAACAAGGAGTCACCATTAAAATTTTGAGGGAAATCTCGGGAACCAATTAAAGGAGGATAAGGGTGGTTTGCGGAAACAGAGAATATGTTCGGGGGTCGGTTGAGTATGGGAAAGGAGTTAGGCACCCCACAACACCCGTTTGTCAGAACGGTTACCTAAAGTTTGTTGTTCTATATTAATATGGTTTTAAAAGTATTTTAATTATCCCTTTTATATTCATGTGTTTGATATAAAAATGATAAAAATTAAGTGAAAAATATTTATTTATTTATGAGAGAGGATTTGACTCAGAATCTAACTCTGAGGCTTACGTACCCTGTGATGGGGATCAAAGTCCATGTAATTCGGGTTTGAAAGTTGTTAATGAAACTATTTTTTAAGAGAAATTAATTAAAAATAATTCACCATTTTGTAAATAAAATAATTTCTAAAATTTTGATACGTGTGTTTTAAATTACAAAAAGTAATTTAATTTCAATTATTTTCTCAATTTTGAATTTTTGGAATAAAGAAAGAAAAGGGTTTAAAATTATTTTTCTTTATGTTTTATAATTTACCAATTTTAACTGCTATACCTACAGAGCCTTATTGGTTCATACAGTAATGCAATTATTCTAAATATCTACAGAGATTTTAAAATCTCACACGATAAAAGAATTTAGTAATTTAATTTTTTTATACTTTTAAGTGTTAGTAATAATTTTTTTGAGTATGTATGTATGTGTTTTAAAGATTGTTAATCGTCATACCTGCAAAACCTTATTCGCTTATACGGTAATATAATTATCCTAAATATCTGCGGAAATTCTAAAAATCTCACACAATAAAAGAATTTAATTTATCTTTAATTTGATTATATATATATATATATATATTTCAAAAAATTAATCGTTATATCTGCAGAATCTTAATGACTTATACGATAATACGATTATCTAAAAAGTCAACGGAGATTCAAAACTCTCACATGACTAAAAAATATAATTGATAAATATGATTACAATTTAAATGCATTAATTTAGTTAATCAATTTTCTAAATTGTGTGTTATATGATTATTTGTAAAAATCATTTATTTATTATAGAAATTGAGAATTACTGCATCCTCGAGGACTTATTATCCCCACGATAATGTGATTAATTTAAATCTCTACGAAGATTATTGAAATCTCACATGAGACTTAAATAAATTATTAATTTAGGTTATAAAAATAGAGTTAAATTTAATGATGGGCCATTGGAACCCATATAAATAAGTACAAGATTGATTATTATGTCTGCAAAATCTTATTGATTTACACGGTATGTAATCATTTTAATCAGTTATGGAGACTCATACAATTTTCACACAACCAATTTTATTTGAGACAAATGAAGCTATGTCTATTGAACACACATGGTCACATTCATGTGAATTTAATTGTTAAACTGCCTAACTATCTTTATAATTATGACTTAAGAAACAACTTAGTGCAATTTAAAATGCATTCTCCTTAAGTTACCAACAACATAAGCAACTGCAACTAATATTGTTCAATCAACATAAAGTGACACTTCTGAGATTTATTATAAAGGCTAATTCCTAAAATTTAAAAAAACCTCAAAATGTTGTAAGATAAGTATATACTTTGACCTTTAGGGAGAATGAGTTCAACCACTCCTTATTATTTAAAATCAAACCTATCTAAGTTAAAGCCATAAGCTTGAAACTTTTATTATCTAATTGTTTTCCATATGACATCTTGACTGTTAAAAGACAAAACAGCACGGTTTATGACCTCCTAAAAACTTCCAAGGTAGCCAAATCATGAACCAAGCATACTAGCGATTTCAAATATTCAAAAGGACCAAATTTCAGCAACATACGTCCAGATGTGCCTACTTTCTTGTTTCACATTTTCGTTGGCATCTTAAACACACCCCACGGACGTGCATGATTCATATAAACCTAGAGTAATCAGCTAACAGAATGGGAACATCAGGCTTACAACAAGAAAACTTAGCAAATATCCGAGAAAATGATTTCAATCTTTCAATCCGTACATATCTAAATAAAACAATCACCCAGCAAATCAAATTTCATAGAGTAGAATGTCAAGTGGAATTAGGAGGAAAAACAAAAAATTTAAAACAAAAAATGAATTCTCAAACCTATTGTAGTAAGGAGATATTAGTCCTCGGTTTTTTAGAAATCCTCTTCTTCCCTGATCCTTCTCACGTTCAGCAAGAACAGCCTCCTCTCTCAGTCTTTTATCAAAAAACCACTCACTCTCTCGGACTCTCCTTCTGTCTCCCTTTTCGTTTCTCTCTTTTTTTAGCCAGAACAGCCCCCTCCTCTCGATTTTTTTTCACTCCCCCTTCTCAGCAAAAATTTCCTAATTTATATAGAGAAGAGAAGGGATGAATCCATCTAAAGTCATGATTACTTACCTGCCATTTACCCTTCCAATCTCACATGCCTCAAGCTTCAATCACCTTCCTTTTTTTTGCTTTTTTTCCCTTTCTCCCGCTGTGTCTTTGCGTGTGTGTGCTTTCCTCCTTCGCTCTCATGCTTGATTCACCTTCAGCGTCTGCTCTCTGCTCTGTTTTCGCCTCTTTTCTCTGGTGTTTTCAGCGTCTGGAGCTCAAGTGTGGTCGTGTCTCCTCTAATCTTGCTGTACGGTGTTGCTCTGCTTCTTTCCTTCTTGTTCTGTGTCTGGGCTTTGCTTCCTCTCCCTTTGTTGGTCTCGTCTGTATGTGTGTTTGCTTTGCTTCTTTCCTTCTTGTTCTATCACGTCTTCGTGTGTGTGTGCGCGCTCTGCTTCATTCCTTCTTGTTCTGTTCACGTCTGGTTCAAGTCTTGCCGTGGTTGCGTGTGTGTGTGTGTGTGTGTGCTCCTTGGTTTGATTGTCTCTGCTGCATCTGACTCTGTTTTTTGCTGTGGAAAGCAATGTTTTGGGGTGTGATATATCATTTCACCCACCCTTTTATTTTTATTTATTTTTATTATTATATTATTTTTTATTTTGTTAACCTAATTTTAAAGTTAATTTAAAAGAGTTAACTTTCAAAAGTTAATTCCAATGTTCTAAATAGTTAGTATAATTTGGGAGATATTTTTTCCTTAAATTTAAGCAAGATTTTTATTTATTTTTTAAAACATAATCCTAAAAAGGATTAAATTTTGTTTTTTGTATTTTTATATATTTTTTTGATTATTTATTATTATTTTTATTAAATTTGAAAAAATGCCCGAATAAAATACAGTATTCACAGTTACCCCTCTTCACTTATTTCTTATGTAAGTATATGAAAAAGTGTATTTTTGAATTTTTATATAAGTGACAAGTAAAGATAGAACATGTATTTGGTCAGCCATGCGATACCTATGAAAAGACCTAATGGACCTAATTGCCCCTGACACGATAAGATATGATTAAATACAAGACTATTGTGTAATGACATGATTGTTTTTTTTTTTGTAATGTGATGCAAATGAAAGTGATCAATTGACAAAGATCCAAACACAATGTAAGACTATAGGATAACAACATGATAAAATGATTTTTTTTATTCTTTGTTTTAGCAATGTGACGCGAATGAAAATGACTAAATAAAATAAGATAAAAAGAAAGATGTTGTAAACAAATGATAATGATTCCAAACAAAATATATGTTGACTAGAACAGTTCCCCTCTTTACTTGTTTCTTATGTAAGTATATGAAAAAGTGTGTTTTTGAATTCTTACATAAGTGACAAGTAAGATAGAACATGTATTTTGTTGGAGGGGCAAGACTCTTATGTACCTATAACTAAACAACAAAACAAAATAAAACAAATGGTGTAAAATGAAATGTGATTTGGGAACTAAAAAAAACAAAATTTCAATGGAGATGAATTGCCTATGTTCTAAAGGACCTGGTGGATGCTTGCCTTTATAAGGCTTGGAGAGTGCCTGCCGTGACAGGACTTTAAAGAATTATGCTAGTCAGTACTGGGCTTTAGGGTGCCTGCCATGACAGGGCTTTTAAAGAATGGTGCCAGCCGGTACTGGGCTTTGGGGTGCCTGCTATAATTGGGCTTTTAAAGAATTGTGCCAGCCGGTACTGAGCTTTAGGGTGCCTGCCATTACAGGATTTTAAAGAATAGTGCCAGCCAGTACTAGACTTTAGGGTGCCTACCATTACAGGGCTTTAGTGTGCCTGTCATTACAGGGCTTTTAAAGAATCATGCTAGCCAGTACTGGACTTTGAGGTACCTGCCATGACAGGGCTTTTAAAGAATTGTGCCAGCATGTACTAGGCTTTGGGGTGCCTGCCGTGACAAGGCTTTTAAAGAATTATGCTAGCTGGTACTGGGCTTTAGGATACCTGCCATTACAGGGCTTTAGGGTGCTTGCCATTACAAGGCTTTTAAAGAATCATGCCAGTCGATACTGAGCTTTGAGGTGCCTGACATTTCAAGGCTTTGGGGTGCCTACCGTTATAGGGCTTTTAAAGAATCATGCTAGCCGGTACTGGGCTTTGGGGTGCCTGTTGTTACAGGGCTTTGAGGGTGCCTATCATTACAAGGCTTTGAGGTTCCTGCCGTGACAGGGCTTTTAAAGAATTGTGCCAGCCAATACTGGGCTTTAAGGGTGTGAAAATAGGTTTCATCTCGCATGGAAAATATGAGAAACTCACAGGTGAGGTTTATTATTTCTTCTCTTACTTCCTCAGGTTTTTTTTAAAATTTTGCTTTGCCCCAATCCAAATGAGGTGTATTTCTATGACAAGGAATGCAATGTAGTAATGCGCCATGTATGATTTTTCATGGCTGCTAAAAATATGTACAATATATCATGAATGGATGATTTGCAATGTAAAAGGTTTGAACCTTTGTTCGTCTCAATTTTATGAGACTTCTTTTTGTAATAAATGCAAAGGGTAAGATGTGTTTATTTGCCCCAATGCAAGTGTATGGATAATGCAAATGTATTGCAAAAATTTTTATTGGAAAGCTTGATGTTGACAACTATTTTAATATATATTCCTCTTTGAAAATTTTCGTGCATATTGAATAAACCATTTCGAACATAAGTTAATACCTTCAAGTCTATTATTTAACCTTTATTCATTAATAAGTGTAGTATCACAGTTATACCATTGCCCCTCTTTAGAAAATTCAAATGACCAAATTCTCATCACTTGATCCTGCCTTTAAGTTAACGAGATCAACTTTTATGACCGAATACCGATAGCACATATGCCCTCGTTGTCATTTTACACCTACCAGATGATCTTGATACCTCAAGGGCAAAAAGTAAGAATAAAGATAACGTCAAGTAAATATATCAATAAATATTGTTCCTTGAATGTGAACCTGCTGTAAATATGAGATATGAATTCGAATATGATAACACAAAAAGAGGAGAAAGATGATTTTAAAGGAACAAGGGTGGAAAAATTCATTCTCTAATGCCAAAGTTCATAGAGAAATGGGAATATCTTATTTATGAGTACAAATGGCCTAAGCGCAAATGGGATATGTGGATCCACTTAATCACATATCTCTCCTCTTAGTTTTCAAAACCCCAACAAGTGCTTTATTGAGCTGCCATTGATATGCATAATGGGAGGGACGATGGAGTCAACTTTCCTAAATATAGATACTTAACTTCTTATGCCTTCCTTTCTTCTCTTAAGACATCCTTTTGTCTTGGTGAACTCTTCTTCTTCTTATCATTGCTTTTTTGTTCTTTGCTCTAACTTTTGCTTAGGTTGCCTTTACAGGTTTTCAACCCAATGAGCTATTCTTTCCTTTTCATTTTCTATTGGCTCTAACTTTTGCCTAAGTTGCCTTTATAGGTTTTCAACCCAGCAAGCACTTCTTTCTTTTTCATTTTCTGTTTAAGCAAAGTAACACTTGACAACATCCGCATTAATGGGCTTTGCTAACTCTTGATCATCCATGTCAGTTAGCATCAGTGCTCCTCTAGAAAAGGCATGTTTGACAACATAGGGTCCCTCATAGGTCGGAGCCCATTTGTCTCTATTATCTTCTTGGTTAGGTAATATTTTCTTGAGTACAAGATCACTAGCACTGCATTCTTGTGGGTGAAGTTTTTTATCAAAAGCTCTTGCCATTCTCTTTTAGTACAATTGTCCATGACACATTACAGTAAACCTTTTTTCTTCAATCATGTTGAGCTGCTCAAATCGGGTTTGTACCCATTCACTTTCCCTTAAATCTTCCTCAGCTAATACTCTCAAGGATGTTATTTCCATCTCAATAAGTGTGACAGCTTCCATTCCGTAAACAAGGGAGTATGGGGTTACCCCTATGGATGTGCATATAATAGTACGATAACCATGTAAAGTATAGGGAAGCATCTCATGCCAATCCTTATAAGTTACTGTCATTTTTCCAATGATCTTCTTAATATTTTTATTGGCTGCTTCAACTGCTCCATTCATTTGAGGTCTATATGGGGCTAAATTATGATGCTTGATTTGGAACTTCTCACAAAAGTTTCTGACTTTCATTCCATTGAGATTGGGACCATTATCAGTAATGATCCTTTCAGGAATCCCATATCGACACAAAATATTTGTCTTCATGAATTTAAGGAATTTTTTTTGCATGATGCTAGCAAATAAATTTGCCTCCACCATTTTGTGAAATAGTCAATCACGACAAGGATGAAGCGATGTCCATTTGAAGCTTTTGGGTTAATTGGACCAATAATGTCAATTCCCCACATTGAGAATGGCTAAGGTGATACCAAATTATGTAGTAGGATTGGAGGAGCATTTATCCTGTTAGCATAGATCTGACATTTGTGGCATTCCTTGCCATGCTCAAAGCAACCTTTCTATCACACCCTAATACTTAAGGGTATGATTAGCATGGAATATGAGGTGAGCTCATATTCTATAAGCCTCGATTAATGAGAATTTAGCTAAAATCTCAGTATGTGTAAGTTATATTCATTAATAATAAAGTTAGCAAAGTCTAAATGTTTTTTGAAAATTTCGGCAGAGTCTCCCCTATAATTTGACCCTCCTAAAATTCCCACAACAACAAAACTTATCAGACTAACCAACAAGGAGATTATTCCCATTTTAGCAATTTACATCATAACAAAAGAGATTAATGACTAATCATAAGGTACGTGGAGCGCTAACTTATAATTTACAAAATGCAAAATGAAATTTCACCAAAAGATAGTCACCATGTGCTTTCTTTTTCCCCAAAAACAAGAAGGCCTTCAATGGTCAGCTAGAGGCGCAGGATCAGCTATACTATCTGAGATCAAAAATTTACCAATGAGTAACATTCTAATCAAAATTGTAGAAATGAAAATATGAAGATCATAAATCATAAATTTAACTTCAAATGCCTTAATGAAATAATGAATTTCCCTTAACTAGAAATAGATAACAATCTTAATTTAATTTTTTTTATAAGATGATCGTGAAATTAGTCAATGCTAGTGAAGCCACACATATACGTTTAAAATTAAAATCCCACTACTCATAAAATATAAAAATATTTAATAATGGTGCAATTTGATAAAAAGGCCTTCAGAGAATAAATAGAAAACTGAAAATGTTAACAAAAATTTAGGAGGGCTCTATCAGAACAAATAACAAGTGTGGATACATAGTCTACGAGGGTAAATAACCCATCAAGCGCAACTGAAAGCCATGTAACAAGCGCAACAAGAGCCACAAATCAAGCGTAGGCATAAAGCCCACAAAAATAAGCATAAGTACGATGCTCACAAACAACTATCCCTTCGTTCCACGTGCGTTGGCCTACGCACAGGGCTAGCACATCCCAGAAGCAACCTACTAGCTAGGTGGACCATAGCGCGCTAGGGGCTAACGGAACTGCTGTTAGTATCCAGCATTCTAAACTCAGTCCCCCTTAATAAACTTTAACATGTATAAAGCAAGAGAAAATTTCAAAATTTTCTTTTCTCTTCTTTTTCCACTTTCAAATACCGATCAATTATTATTATCATCATTATTATTATTACTTCATCAATACTTGTCAACTATATAAACTACCAATAAAATCAACACCTTTTCTTTAATAAAACAATTATTAGGAAAATACGATAAATGAGAATATTTGTACAATTTATAAAAGATAATTGCTAAAATTCTACATAGGGAGATTTTTGTAAACACTTTCCTAAGAATTTACTTAGAACGCTACCCACTCACCTAAGAGTTTCTTAAATTTATAAAGCTCATTCTTTCTAACCTCTCACCTTAATTCCAATGACGCTATTAGATTCCTAGTAAGTAAATCAAAAACCCTAAAATCAATTATTTTATTATTTCCCTATCAAATTGGCAACTTGACCTTATTCCAACCATATAAACAATTTCAATATGCTTTCTAAACACATTTCTTCATTGGAAATAGATTAGATTTCAAAAAAAAAAACAATTCCTAAATTTATAGTATTGGTCTTTAGGCCTTGAATATACTTAAATTACTCCCCTTTGACTCTTCTACTTATTTTCTCAACACTATAAATGCATTGACATTCAAATCACACCCTCCATTGTTTATATATTACTCAAGACTAATAAAGAAAATCATTCAGCAGTACTAATGTAGAGAAAGGTTCACTGCATCCAACATATAGAAGGCAAAAAAATTAATCCTAGGCTGAACTTTCAATCCCAGTGCAACAATTTAATCCTAATGATAATTAGAGTATCAAGAATAAAGAATAGGGATCACGTCAATCAGCTAGAAGAAGAAGGAAATGATTCAACAGTGCCGTATAGTGTAATAAAGAGAGAAGGAAAACAATATCTTACCTCAACAAGGCTTAGTAGCAGCAAGTCTGATTCAGCCACAAAACAACGTCAAAGCAGAAAAAGCTAAGGGTTCAAATCTATCAACACACGAGGAGGAAGAAGCTATGATTCTAGCCAATAATAAAAGAAGCAACAACCACCTACACCCATACTGAACTTCGACGACAAGGAAGGAAGAAAAGAGGAAAGAAAAAACAACCACCGTGTGCACCCAAATTCAGCACAAAATAAAGCAAGAAAATGAGGGATTTACCTTTCTAATGTGACTCACAAATGAAGACCGAGAAGAAGAGGAAGGTGGCAGCTAAGACAGCAAACTGCTGACAGACTCTCGTGGACACAAAACAGCACGATATAGTGGGAGAAAATTAGCAACTCAATTTAAAGGTAACTAACAGACGAGGACGAGAAGGTGAGGTGATATAAAGCAATGACAACCACAAAATGGTCAGTTAACAGCGAGTTTAGTGTGTTGATAAGGATTAAAGAAATGGACTAACTTAAATGATCTAGAAGAGTGTAGGAAGGCGGTGAGAAAATGAATCAAAGTGCTCTATTTTTCCTCACACAAAAGAACTGAAATCAAAACATAAAGAACATGGGAAAATTTACAAAAAGGAGCACAAGGAAATTACAATAAAAGGCACAAGAAAATTACGATAAGGAACACAAAATTTTTCTATAATTTAAAAGCAAGGTTTTGCTTTGAAAAGTTTAATCCTTGCACAAATTCTAACAGATTTTTTTTCCCATAAATGCCCCCTTTTTATTTCTGTGAAACTTATTTAAATAAAAATATTTTAAAAAAATTTTGTTCGACTTGAAATTTAAGGTCATCACATTCTTCCCCCCTTAAGAAATTCAGTCCCATGAATTTAAAAAGAGTTTACTTACCTTAATTTTAGAATAAATGTGGATACTTGTCTCGTATTTCAGTCTCAATTTCCCAAGTGGCTTCTTTGATAGAATGATTACGCCATAATACTTTCACAGAAGCAATCTCCTTTAATCTTAGTTTCTTTATTTGCCTATCAAGAATGGCTACTGGAACTTCCTCATAGGTTAGGTCTTCATTTATTTGGACTTTTTGAGTTTCAACCACATGAGAAGGATCATACAAATATTTCCGTAGCATTGATACATGAAACACGGGATGAATGCCAACCAACTCTGGAGGCAATGCAAGACAATAAGCAACAACACCTACTCTTTCCAGTATTTTAAATGGACCAATGTACCTCGGGCTAAGTTTACCTTTGTTCCTAAACCTTATAATACCTTTTATAGGTGATATTTTCAAGACAACTTTGTCTCCCACCATAAATTTTAACTCTCTATGATGACAATCTACATAAGACTTTTGTCTACTTTGAGCTGTTAACAATCTTTATTTGATAACTTACACCTTTTCTTTAGCATCTTGCACAAAATCCAGTCCCAAAATTTTAGCATCCCTAACTTCAAACCAACCAATCGGAGATCTACACTTCCTACCATATAAGGCCTCAAACGGTGCCATTTGTATACTTGCTTGATAACTATTGTTATATGCAAACTCCACTAATGCTAAATACTCATCCCAACTTCCTCTAAAGTCTAAGACATAAGATCTCAACATATCTTCAAGGATTTAAATTGTCCTCTCAAATCGACTATTTGTTTTGCGGATGAAATGCAGTGCTAAGATCTAGTTTAGTTCCCAATGCTTCTTGAAATGATCGCCAAAACCGTGATGTAAATTGTGATCCTCTATCAAAAATTATAGATACTGGAACTCCATGTAAACGTACAACTTGATTGACATAAATTTAAGCATAATCATTGGTAGAATATGTCATCTTGACTGGAATGAAATGTGCAAATTTGGTTAATCTATCGATAATGACCCAAATAGAATCATACTTCTTAGTGGTTTAAACCTGTAACAAAGTCTATTATAACATTTTCCCATTTTCATTCTAGAATTTCCAGTCGTTGAAGTAGCCCTGCTGGCTTCTGATGTTCTACCTTAATTTGTTGACATACAAAACATCGTGAAACAAAATCTGCTACATCACCTTTCATTCCATCCCACCAATATAATTGCCTTAAATCTTGATACATCTTTGTTGACCCTAGGTGGATTGTATATGCAGAATGATAAGCTTCTTCCAAAATACATTTTCTCAATTCTTCAACTTATGGAACACAAATCCTATTGTCACACCTTAAAATCCCATCCTAGTCAATAATGAACTCGTTGTTTTCCCCCTTCTTAACTAGTTCTATTAATTTACCAAGTTTTGGATCTGAATTTTGAGTAGCTTTAATTTGATCGATTAAAGAAGAACGGTCTTGCATGTGTGCCAAAAATACCCCCTTTTCATCAATTTCTAATTCCACTCCATCTTGCTCAAGTGTGTGAATTTCTTGCATAAAAGGTCTCCTTATAGCAATCACATGTGCTAAGCTACCCATAGACTTTCTGCTTAGGGCATCAATTACAGCATTCGCCTTACCAGGATGATATCGAATAATGCAGTCGTAGTCTTTAAGTAATTCCATCTTTCTTCTTTGCCCAAGATTGAGATCTTTTTGCTCAAAGATATATTTAAGACTCTTATGATCAGAAAAAATTTCACACGCTTTTCCATATAAATAATATCACCAAATCTTTAAGGCAAAAACAATTGCTGCTATTTCTAAATCGTGAGTCGAGTAATTTTGTTCATGTTTCTTAAGTTTCCTAGATGCATATGCAATTACTCTTCTATTTTGCATCAAAATAGAACCAAGGCCAACTCGAGAAGCATCACAATAAACTGCATATCCACCTTTCCCTAATGGAAAGCTTAACACCAGAGCAGACGTTAAATAGTCTTTTAGCTTCTAGAAGCTTTCCTCCATTCATCACTCCATACAAACTTTACATTTTTCTAAGTCAATCTAGTCAATGGTGCAGCTACTCTAGAAAAGTCTTTAACAAAACGACGATAATAACCAGCCAGACCTAAGAAGCTCCAAATCTCAGTAACCGAAGTAGGTTGTGGCCAATTTTAAACTACTTCAACCTTGCTTGGATCTAACTGTATGCCATCTTTAGACACAACATGGCCTAAAAAGGTAACTTGATCAAGCCAAAATTCACATTTAGAAAAATAAAGTTGATGCTCCCTCAATGTCTGCAATACTAATCGCAAGTGGTCTTCATGTTCTTCTGCACTCCTTGAATAGACCAAAATATTATCAATAAAAACAATTACAAACTTATCTAAAAATGATCTAAATACCCGATTCATCAAATCCGTGAAAGCAGCCAGTGCATTTGTCAGCCCAAAAGGCATTACCAAAAACTTATAATGACCACATTGAGTTCTGAATGCTGTTTTGGGAATGTCTTCTTTCTTAATTTTCAACTGGTGATACCGTAAACGTAAGTCAATCTTTGAGAAACACTGAGCTCCTGCCAATTGGTCAAAGAGATCATTAATACGAGGCAATGGATATTTATTCTTTATAGTTACCTTGTTAAGCTGTCGATAATCAATACAAAGTCTTAATGACCCATCTTTCTTTTTGACAAAGAGGACCAACGATCCCCAAGGAGAAGTACTAAGGCGAATGAATCCTTGTCCAACAACTCTTGCAGTTGACCTTTCAATTCTTTTAGCTCAGATGGTGCCATTCTATAAGGGAGGATTGAAATTGGTTAAGTACCCAGAATCACATTAATAGAGAATTTGATTTCCCTATCTGAGGGTAATCCAGGTAACTCATTTGGAAAAACATCAAGAAATTCTCTAACTATTGGAATTGGTGTTATACTAGGAACTGGTTTCTCAATATCCCGTACCAAGGCTAAGTATCCTTGGCAACCCTTCATTAAAAGCCGTTGGGCTTTCAAGGCTGAAATTAAACTAGTCAGTCTATCAATTTGATTCCCTCGCAAAACAAAAGGAGTTTCTCCAGGAATTTTGAATCTTACCACTTTAAAGTGGCAATCAACAGTAGCATGACAAGAAGCTAACCAATCTATGCCCAAAATTACATTAAAATCAATCATATCTAATATCATTAAGACAACTAGGGTTTCTCTACCCTCAAGAGATACTTCACATGATTTGTATCCCTGCTTAACAAAAAGAGGTTCTCCTACTAAAGTAAAAACCATAAAAGGATCATCAAGTTTGATGGGTTCTTTACCCAACTTCTTTGCAAAATACACAGAAACAAATGAATGGGTTGAACTAAGATCAATCAATGCATATATACTTTTAGAACATACAAAAATAATACCTGTTACCATATCATTTGAAGCTCAAGCATCTTGTCAGGTTATAGCATAAACACATGCTTGTCCTTGTCCTAAAGATTGTCCTTGTTTTCCAAATGCTTTTCCAGACATATCCCTTCTAGCAATAGTAGAAGGTACTATTACAGAAGTAGTCGAGCATGGATGTGGTCGAATAGATCCCTAGCTAGACGGCAATTGAATAAGGGGACAATTTCTTCTTAGATGAACAATCTGTCTACACTCATATAACAAGCACCAGTTGCCTTGCGATAAGGTCTAGAATGAAAATTCCCACAAGTGACACAAGGAGTTCTAGCATAGCTCGGTTGAATCGAAGTTGGTTGAGATTGTGGTCTAGGACTCCTTATATTATGTCTGGAAACTGGAATGCTCGTAGAAGGGGCATAAGATCTAGACATCTGCTGCTTTCCATGAGAATAGAATTGCCCCTGAAATTTATCACTCTTGAAAGAAGAACCTTGGAATTTCAATTCATCTTCTCTTTTACATTTTTTAAAAACTACCTTATTTTCTTGATGCTTCAACTTAATCTTAAAAGCAGCATCCACAGCCTGTGAATAGTTGGTAAAGAGCTCCATCATCACAGAAACTAGATCATGTATCTCCTGAGGTAAACCATAAACAAATTTACGGATCTTCTCTTTCTCTGAAGGTACTATGTGAGGAGCAAAAGAAGAAAGCTCTACAAATTTTCAATCATACTCTAGTATGGACCCAGTATATTTCAGATTTAAAAATTCTTCAATTTTGGCATCTCTTTTACTTTATGGAAGATAACGTTAAAGGAATACATTCTTGAATTCTTCCTATGATAAAGATGGTACTCTTTTATCCTTGACACCTGGAATAGTTTTAATCCATTCCTCGGCCACCCCACTAAGTTAAAAAATAGCAAATTCCACATACTACACATCTGGGCACCTTAAAGTTTGACATCTCTTTTCAACCCTTTCAAGAAACGCCATTGGATTTTCTGCTTCATTAGTTCCAGAGAAGGTAGGAGGATTCAATTTAATAAAATCAATAAATTTTGCTATGGCAACCTCCTCTTTAGTGTCTCTTTCAGTGCCTAGTGTAGATGATGAAGCACCCTCATAAGATTGAGGATTCGAAGGTTCGACCTCAAATACAATCTCTTGAATATGCCTATGGGGTCGACCACCCCTAATCCTAACTCTCATAAGACCTTGTCCTCGACCACGAAAAGGCAATTCATTTTGTGAAGTAGAGGACCTGTCAGATGTCCAACTGCTAGTAGAACTTCTACTAGAGGGGCGACGCCTAGGTGGCATTCTCACTATACAGGAAACATAACAAAAATGTTTAGTTCAAGACATAATGATTATATAGGAATCACAATAAATAAGGAAGAGAGGACTCTTTTTGAGACATCCTAATTGAACCTTCAATGAAGTCTCACTTATTATTATGCCTGGGTTCATAATAATAATTGAAACTTCAAAGAATCCTTGCTTCACGTAACCAAATAAACCTAATCTCTGATACCATCTTTCACACCTAATACTTAAAGGTATGATTGGCATGGAATATGAGGTGAGCTCATATTTCCATAAGCCTCAATTAATGAGAATTTAGCTAAAATCTCAGTATATGTAAGTTATATTCATTAATAATAAAGTTAGCAAAGTCTAAATGTTTTCTGAAAATTTCGACAGAGTCTCCCCTATAATTTGACCCTCTCGAAATTCCCACAACAACAAAACCTATCAGCCCAACCAACAAGGAGACTATTTCCATTTTAGTAATTTACATCATAACAAAAGAGATTAATACCTACTCATAAGGTATGTGGAGCGCTAACTTATAATTTACAAAATGCAAAATGAAATTTCACCAAAAAGATAGTCACCATGTGCTTCCTTTTTCCCCAAAAACAAGAAGGCCTTCAATGGTCAGCTGGAGGCACAGGGTTAGCTATACTATTTGAGATCAAAAATTTACTAGTGAGTAGCGTTTTAATCAAAATTGTAGTAAAGAAAATATGAAGATCATAAATAATAAATTTAACTTCAAATGCTTTAATGAAATAATGAATTGCCCTTAACTAGAAATAGATAACAATCTTAATTTAATTTTTTTTATAAGATGATCGTGAAATTAGTCAATACTAGTAAAGTCACACATATATGTTTAAAATAAAAATCCCACTACTGAAAATGGTGCAATTTGATAATGGTGCAATTTGATAAAAAGGCCTTCAAAGAATAAATAGAAAACTGAAAATGTTAACAAAAATTTAGGAGGGCTCTATCAGAACAAATAACAAGCGTGGATACACAGTCCACAAGGGTAAATAACCCATCAAGCACAACTGAAAGCCACATAACAAGTGCGGCAAGAGCCACGAATCAAGTGCAGGCATAAAGCCCATGAAAACAAGCGTAAGTATGATGCTCACGAATAACTATCCCTCCGTTCCATGTGCGTTGGCCTACACACAGGGCTAGCACCTCCCAGAAGCACCCTGCTAGCTAGGTGGACCATGGCGCGCCAAGAGCTAACAGAACTATCGTTAGCATTCAGCATTTTAAACTCAGTCCCCCTCAGTAAACTTTAACATGTATGAAGCAAGAAAAAATTTCAAAATTTTCTTTTCTCTTCTTCTTCTTTTTCCACTTTCAAATACTGATCAATTATTATTATTATTATTACTTCATCAATACTTGTCAACTATATAAACTACCAATAAAATCAACACCTTCTCTTTAATAAAACAATTATTAGGAAAATAGGATAAATGAGAATATTTGTACAATTTATAAAAGATAATTGCTAAAATTCTAAATAGGGAGATTTTTGCAAACACTTTCCTAAGAATTTACTTAGAACGCTACCCACTCACCTGAGAGTTTCTTAAATTTTTAAAGCTCATTCTTTCCAACCTCTCACCTTAATTCCAATGATGCCATTAGATTCCTAGCAAGTAAATCAAAAACCCTAAAATTAATTATTTATTATTTCCTTATCAAATTGGCAACTTGACCTTAATCTAACCATATAAACAATTTCAATATGCTTTCTAAACATATTTCTTCATTGGAAATAGATTAGATTTAAAAAAACAATTCCTAAATTTATAGTATTGGTCTTTAGGCCTTGAATGTACTTAATTACTCCCCTTTAACTCTTCTACTTGTTTTCTTAACACTATAAATGCATTAACATTCAAATCACACCCTCTATTATTTATATATTACTCAAGACGAACAAAGAAAATCATCTAGCAGCA